TGACTGACAAAAGAAATGTATTGGCAGCAAGTTAAAGGCTATTAGGTATGGTAATGACAATTACAAAACAATTAATAACACAATGTAAAAGCCTGTATAATTACCACTTAGTTCTGTGAGTTTCTCAGCTCTCTTGTTTCTGGTTGCAATAAGCCCTATCTACAAAACAAACATTCAACAATATTCACTTTGCATGCAATCAAAATATGTTATTAACTAAGTTAATTAATATTGGTTTCCTTATACTTTGTAAACATACACGTACCTGTGAAATGGGATTCTGATCAAAGTACTCGGTGATAAAATCTTCCAAAAGCTGTAAAGATAGAAATGTACAGTCATGTTTCTTTCATACTGTTTGCAAGATGATGCATTTAAGGCATTGAATGTCATGATACCAGCATCATTGGAGAGTTGTACTGTGACACTGACTCAGTAGATAATAAAAATATACTTGTGCATCTCACTCCAGTTCGCACTTCTAGTTAACAACTACATCATGAGCTCCAGATTGAGATTTCAATGAGGTGATACATGTAGTTGTTGAAGCTGAAAGCAGAATCAACTACAGTGTATCACCTAATACAAATTCAGAGTGAATAATCTAATTGTCTTTAATAGTAGAATTCTAACTAAATTTCTAATTTTTAATTATCCTTCTACACACACTGCCTTAAGTAAAATTTTTAGTAAAACTTCCTACTTCAGTAATAAATTACACTTGCAGCCAGGGGTAGATCCAGGATTTTTCTTAGGAATGGCATAACTGACTGGTGAGGTAAACAAATTTTAAAAGCAAATACAAAGAAGAAGACTTCATCTCAGGGGGCAGGGTAGGGGGATGCACCCCCCTGCACCCTCCCTCTAGATCTGCCCCTGGTAGCTGTGTACTCATACTCACATTGTTCATTCAACAATTCTGAGCTTTTAAAGTTTAGTGTTTGATGGCTGATAATGTGTGATGGCTCAACCAACAGATTGCAGCAGCATTAAAATTAGTATTCAAGTAGAATTCTACTATTATGGTGATATATACTGTACCTTGACAGAACAAGCAAGACGTGAAGGTTTTAAATCAGCTTCTTCCATAGCTCGAGACATATCCACAACAACAAACACATGTCGCATCTGAAATGCAGCAAACAATGTCTGTTTTCCCATTAAGGATGGTGC